TTCCAAAAGTTCAATAAAAATCTCGTTTTTTTAAGGTTTTCTAACCAAAACGGGAATTTCTGCGGCCGGGAGGGGAACTGGGAAAAAAAGGGGGAAAAAATTGGGAAAAATGGGGGGAAAATTGGGAAAATGGGAAAAATAGGGAAAAAAAAAGGGGAAAAAAGAGAAAAAAACGGGAAAAATGGGAAAAAAATAGGAAAAAAACGGGAAAAATGAGGGGGGAAAATGGGAAAAAAACGGGAAAAATGAGGGGGGGGAAATGGGAAAAATTGGGAAAAGTGGGAGGGGACTGGGAAAAATTGGAAAAATAGGGAAAAAACGGGAAAAATAGAAAAAAAAACCGGGAAAAATGGGAGAGAATTGGGAAAACTGGGAGGGGACTGGGAAAAATTGGAAAAATAGGGAAAAAAGGGAAAAAAGAGAAAAAAACGGGAAAAATGGGAGAGCATTGGGAAAATGGGGGGAAAATGGGAAAAATGGGTGGGAAATGGGGAAAATTGGGAAAAATGGTAAAAAAACGGGAAAAATGGGAGAGAAACTGGGAAAAATGGGGAGGAAATGGGGAAAATGGGGGAAAAATCGGGAAAAATGGGGGGAAACCGTTTGGAATTGGGGTAAAATCGCTTAAAAATGGGGTCAAGTGGGGGTGAAACCAGTAAGGGTGGGGGGGGGGAAAAACCAGTTTAAAGTGTGGAAACCAGTATGGGGCAGGTGAGACTGGGCTGGACTGGGGCCGAGCCGCTTTAAATGGGCTCAGATCGGTTCCGGAAGGATCCAAAAGCGCTGGAAATTGCCCCAAACCAGTTTAAAAGGCCCCAAACCGGTTTAAAAGGCCCCAAACCAGTTTAAAAGGCCCCAAACCAGTTTAAAAGGCCCCAAACCAGTTTAAAAGGCCCCAAACCAGCGCGGACTGGGAGCCGTCCCGGCCCCGCCGCCTGCGCGTGATTGACAGCGGCGCTGTCCAATCCACGCCCGACCTCGGCGCGCGTTGTCCAATCAGAGCCCGCGCTGGGCTCTTAGCCCCGCCCTCCCGTTGCAGCCAATGGCGGCCGCTGGCGCATGCGCACGGCCGGCCGCGCGTCTCGGGGCGGGCGCTCCCCCAGGCGATCACTCGCGGTTGGTGGAAGGGAAGAAATGGCGGCGAGCGCAGCCAATCAGCACGCGCGGTGCGTGACTGACACAAGCTTCGAGCGGCCGGCGAACGTTCCGCCCCCTCCCGCGCAGCAGAACCCTCCCCGCTCCCAGTGGTTTAGACTTTGATTGACAGCGAGGAAACCCAATCAGATCGCGAGGACGGGCGCCGGGGGTGGGCCCGGCGCTGCTCGCGGCGCTGAGGGCGGCGCGGGCGCCATTTTGTGCTCAGCCCCCGGAGGAAGCAGCGGCGGCGGCGGCGGGAGCGCAGCGGTGCCCGGAGCGGTGAGGGGGCAGCGGGGGCGGCGCCGCGGGGATCCCGGCGGGGTCCCGGGGATCCCGATCGGGGACAATCGGCGGAGCG